TGACCCCAAACCCAACCTGGTGCCAACATCGTCCCCATCCCAGTGCCGTCCCCATCCCGACCCTACACTGATCCCAAAGCCCCCCCCCCCCATGGCTGCTCACAAACCCCCATTTTGGGGCCTCCAATGGGGCAGGATTTCCTGCCCCCATATCTGTCCCCACACACAGCGCACGGAGCCCCGGGGGGGGGGGGGAGGATGAGGTGCCCCCCAACCCAGGAACTGCACAGCACCCCACAGCGCGGTTATGGGGTGGGGCTGTGGGTCCCGGGGGGGGGATGGGTGCCGTGCCACACAAAGCGCCCTTTGTGCCCCCACCCCCCCACTTCGTCCCCATGCAAAACAGCCCTTTGGGGGGGGGCACACGCACCCACACACCCCCATGGGTGCTGCCAGCCCTACACATCAGTGGGGCGACCCTACAGATCAGTGGGGCGACCCTACAGCCGCGCACACCCAAAGCTGCCCCCCCAACCCCCCTAATTAACTCTGGGGGGGGGGAGGTGGCATTTCCTCGTTAGGGCCGGCGATGAGCTCTGCTGTCCGTTAATGGGGCTTTAATTGGCCCCTAATTGGGTTTGGGGACGCAGGGCAGGAAGGCGGCGCTCCGCCAAACAGGGATCTGTTGGGGGGGGTGGCCCTAAAACGCCCCCGTGGGACCCCAAAACCGCAGCATGGGGACCCACCAGAACTGCGCTATGGGGGACCCCAAAAACTGGGCGATGGGGACCCCAAAAAGTGCCCTGTAGGGTCTTCGAGAAATGCACCACGGGGATCCCCCAAAATGTTGACTCCATGATCCCCGTGTGTGGACCCCAAAAACTACGATAGGGATTCCTGAAGGGCACCACGGGGACCCCAAAAAACTGCATTGTGGGGACCCCAAACCAGTGCTATACTCCCCCCTGACCCCAAAAACTGCACCCTCGGAACCCCAAAAACTGCATCATGGGGACCCTAAAAACTGCATCCTGGGGACCCCCAAAAAAATGCATCATGGGGACCCCAAAACTGCACTACGGGGACCCCAAAAAACTGCTCCCTGGGGATCCCAAAAAGCTGCACCGTGGGGACCCCAAACCGGTGCTATGCTCCCCCTGGACCCCA